TTCAGTGAGAGTCTGCAGCTGAGGAAGGGCCAGGCAAGGATGTTGAGGGCGCAGCAGCCCCGAGCACAGGAGGGAGCCCAGCCCTGCAGCAACCAGGGCACCCATTCCTGGTGTCCGCTACTTTTAGCGATGCAAATAACAGTACATTATAAATCTGAAATAAGTCTTGCCCCCAGACTGGGCTGTTGCTAAGGTTGGCTTATTTGCCAGATGTTCCTGGGTTTGCTCCTTGTTCCATTGGGCTGAAGGGTTGTACCAGGTTACTCCTTCACTCCGGAAGAGCTGCTGGTTTCTGCAGTTGCAAAAAGCAGTGGACGAAGGAGGCCCAATGTTATTGGGGCAGCTTCCCCTTTTTAAAGGGGAGCCTTGCTAAAGGAGCAGCCCTGTACCACGATCTGCTAAGAAACTGCTAAATGGAGTACTTACAGGTGGCTGGATTGCGCGAGTCGGAGATAGCAGCACATATTTTATTCCAGTAAATCAATGAACATTTGTCAAATAAAATTAATTGCGAACGTTTGGCTGTTTTCCTGCATTCCATGTAGGGGTTTATCTCACAAGAGGCTGTGTGTAGTATTGATCTGAATGTAAAGAACGAGGGGATGGAGGTGGTACCACCTTTTCTCTTTCCCCTCCTCTCCTTCCAGCACTTTATACTAAGTCATATCCATTGTGGGATGATATATTATGAGCATTCAGCAAACCAGATAGCGTGTTGCAGCTCACTGGGCAAAAATTTTCAGCCTTTCTTTCCATGCGAATTAACTACTATTGAAATAGTTTATTGAGATTGAAGTATTGATCACTCTTCATGCTAACCTTGGCTTAAGGGGGGTGAAGGGGAGGGGTTTTTCTTCTCTTTGAAAGACATTATGTTTAGTTAGAAAATATATTTCATTTATTTGGATCCTTTACAACTGCAACTGTTTTATTGCTTGGAGAAGAGGTATCTTAGCTTTATTTTTATGACAGTATAATTATACCTTAGAAATACACTTGATTACTGTGTGTAGCAAGATTGTTCCAGTATATTGGCTTGGCCAATATTGCTATACAAACAACTTTTCAGTCAATTGAGTCTGGCAAAAATCAATACTTTATTGCAATACTTCTAGTGAGAACTTGCTGAATCTAAATGTTTTTCCTGTTGTGAAAAGAGAAGGGATTTTGTGGTTATCTGCCATCCTGTTTTTCCCCTGCTTTTGATATGCTCCTCTCTTAATTAAGGGATAATAGAAATTGTAGAGTTAGATCCTGCAAATAATATCCTTTTTGATTGTTTGAGTACAGAGGTCTTTCTATCAGCTGTTTTAAAGAAGTTGATAGGATGGGGAATGTACAGTGGCTGCTTCACAGCAGAAAAAAAAAGCCCTTTTATCGAAGGGCATCTAGGGTGTTTGCTTAAATTGCTTTTTTGAAAAATAATTCACTGGCAGGTCCAAAAGACATTTAAATTAGGCACATTTCTGCTGCATGTTTTAGTTCCCTCTTCGGCTGCAGAACCGAGACACCAAGTTTTGGTAAAATTGCTCCTTTGCTTTAGTAAAATAATGTCCACATTTTGATTTGTAGTATGTGCTGTGCCAGGCAGTCCCAGGAGTAGTTGCTTTAAATGATTTAGAGGGAAAACACTCAGGCATGTCTGTTTGGAATCTAAATATAATGCAGGAGAACTCTGTATCTGGCTGGTAATTAGCTCGTGAAGCTGTCACTCATGGGGCATCTCTGAAGTGTCGTGATTTCCTTCCTTTACACATGAACAAAATAAATATTTTTACCTTTTATATTCCAGCTTTTCCCTTATAATTGTATAATTAAATTGTATAACTGCATAGTTTTAAATAAGAAGTGAAATGTTCAGAGAATTCTTTCTAGGTGATGGTGACTAGATCCTTTTAGGTATCCGCTGGTTTTTAAGGGATGTGTGTTCATGGTGTGCAGATCTTTGGGGTTCTGTCAGGAGTCTTGGGTAGCCGCGAGCTGCGTCACCATAAACATCGAGTCCCCATCATCTCATAACCGATTTGTAAAGTTACCCAGTGTCTAGAAAGGAGGGTGTCTAGAAAGGCAGATTTGGGTATCACCTTAACAGAAGCTGTTAAACCAGACGGTTGCCCTATCGCTTGAGTAATTGGAAGAGAAGTGGCTGTTGCTGATGTACCGGCCAGAAGAATCGTTTAGCTAGGAAAAATACGGATAAATGCTGGAGCTTAATTTGCTTGAGCAATTTACTTGAGCAATTTTGCTGTTCGCTCGAGTTGCGCATCCCAGCATATGCCCATTTCTCTATTCTCCATCTCCACCAACCTTGGGGTGCCCCATTAGCGCGTCGCACGCAGCGCGTGGCAAGACAGCTGGGGAGTTGCTCTCTCTTGCAAGACAGCCTGCAACCTGCTATCCAAGAAGATTGCGGATGCTCCGTGCCGTTAGCAGGAAAAGTGGCATCAACTCTTCAGTGGAGGAGTTGGAGGTGGTTTTGCTTAGATTGAGAGTAGGGAAGGTGGAGATGATTGAGCTGTGCTTGCTCGGATGGTGATGGCACAGCTGGAATTTATTGCAGTCTCATGTAACTTGGGCTCTGGCTCGTCTCTCTGCTCCTGGTGCAAGAGGCTGGCACTTTTCCAGCACATCTAGGAGCTGTCTCAGAGGTGTTTCTGCAGAGCAGGTGTATTCTTCAAAAAATACTGTGTACCTCTTAAATGCTGCTGAAGGCAACTCTGAACTAGGTGGTGCTCTCGTCTTCTCGTGGCCTCCTGCGGAGTTCTGCTCTGCCCTTCCATTCGTTGCTGTTTTCCTGCAGGAATCAGCAATGGGTGATGATAATTCGCCCTTCTTTAGAGTAGATCTTTTTGTGCTTTATGCAAAAGAGGCTGGTAATTGTCTGCGTATAAACAGAAAGAGAGGGAAGAGGCTTTTTAATTTTTTAAATTCCCTCCTGCTCCCCCCAGCCTATCAAAGCAGTGGGAGAGCTGGGAGCTGAGCCTGGATCTGCTGCTTGTTCCTCGTCCAGAGCCCCGGCAGCTCCATCACGCTGCTTCCCATCCCTTGGGCTTTCCAGAGAGGGTTCTCCTTGTGCTTCCTGGACGTCGTCATCCCGGCACGGTGAGATGATAGAGGGCTGGAAAATGCCATGCAGGAAGGTTAAGTATTTGGATCAGCATTCCAACAAATGGGATTTTC